TTATCATTTGGATGTAAGCAGTATCTCTACACCATCAGTATAATACCCGAGGAGTCCTTGAGGCTTTGCAGAGAGCATGGGAGGCAAGGGTCACAGAAACCTAGGAGTTGAGACTGAGTAGTCCCTGCAGCCAGGGTGAGGGTACTGCTCTTAGTGTGGGTATTGTCCTAAGAAGTTATTTTTGGATGAGTCTCTCCTTTAAAAAAATACTTCCCTTTTTAAAGGAGTATGCCCAACTCTTTAAGATTCCATAAAGTATTACTTTTGTAATTATTATTTTAAAAAGTTCTTTAGTCTTTTCCTTTTAGAAGAGGGTCAATTTCTCATTCTATTCTGATGTAAGTGGAAAATCTGTTGGTTAAAAAATCATCTCTCTGATTTTAATTCTCAAATCTATAATTTTAGCCTTTGATTTTCTTCTATTTTTTGATCCTTTTTATATAATTACCTGCTGGTGCAAATACAATTCAACCTGTGCAAAACCAAACCCATCATTGTCATTACACCAAACTGATTCCTGGCCCCTGTGCCTTTTCTTCTTTCTTAAAATATATTTTTATTGATTTCAGAGAGGAAGGGAGAGGGAGAGAGAGAGATAGAAACATCAATGAGGAGAGAGAATCATTGATTGGCTGCCTCCTGCACGTCCCCTGCTGGGGATAACCCAGCATAACCCAGGCATGTGCCCTTGACCAGAATCAAACCCTAGACCCTTTACTCCACAGGCTGATGGTCTATTAGCTGAGCCAAACCAGCTAGAGCCTGTGCCTTTCTTTTCCTTCTTTTTACGTCACTGATTTTGAAAGAGAGAGAGAGAGAGAGAGAGAGGCGGAATCAGGTGTTTCTGGTGTTGTACCCAGCATGTTCTGAGTCCCAAGGAGAGGGGAAGGAGGCTGGAGAGAAGTAGGAAATGCTTAAAAAACCCAAGAATGAGGGTCTTGTATGTCATGCCCTATATGCTAGGCCAGTGATGGCGAACCTCTTGAGCTCGGCGTGTCAGCATTTTGAAAAACCCTAACTTAACTCTGGTGCCATGTCACATATAGAAATTTTTTGATATTTGCAATCATAGTAAAACAAAGA